TTTCAATGAATATTTGATATGAAGTTAGAAATGTCTATTAATTATGTGAGCTTTGATGACGTTTTACTCCCTCTCCACTATGCATTCATTTGTCTAGGTCCTCTAATAGTAGGTATCCCAGATTGATTCATGGCCATTGGAAGAGTGCAATTATTGATTTGCCATAGTGGTTATTTTAAGCATAACCAGAATGATGGGCGTAACTATTATAAAAGGAAAACTTAAAATCCACACTACATGATGGGGGCAACTCACTACAACAACTAAAGGTTCATGTATGTGTGGTCTATATTGAGCTTTGACCCAAACCGTTTATGTGAATTATTCACTTGTAGAACCCTTTGAAAAAAGGTTTGAAGCATAGAATAGGTTGATGACGTGATGCACGTTGTTAGGCCCATTGCGTTCACCTACGCACCCTGCGTCACGGGCCAGGAGCAACCTTTGGCTGGTACAACAAGCTCTATTGAGTTCTACAGTGGTGATGTGGTCCATATTTTATGCATTCTGGGGTCTTCAATTAACAATTTTATGAGATTTTTGTGTTGTTCTAGGTTGACCTGGATAAATTCTGATAAGATTTAGTTACTGAACTGACCTTGTCTGATGTGAGGGTTTCCTAAGTATTATGGACTACTAGGCATGATCAACAAAGATCTACTATACTAGTATGGTCCTTAGGGGTTTAGGATTAGAGGTTTCTCGAAATTTCCTTAACCAAAGTTTTAGGGAGGTGTATAGAGAGCTATGGCAAGTGTTCAAGGAAGGCATATGAAGAGCTAAGTTCCATCACAAGCGAATAGTATGGACAAGAGCTTTGTGAAAATCAGGTTAAATATTTGATATGGCTCTACAGAGGGATAAAAGAGCTCCCAAATCAGCCTAGTCTTCAGTTCAATAAAGTGACGAAGAAGATGACTAGGCCTAGTTGGGAGGAGCATGTTTAAGTACAATTTACTTATATTGCAAAGAACCAGAAAAACTTATGTGCTAGTATAAAAATTTCATATTTTGGTAATTTATTCAGGCAAATTATTGGACTTCAAGGCACTTGTCCATTACTTTTCATCCTATGCACATAAAGGGTTTCATTTTTGGAGATGTTGTGGCTCATGCGCAACCTATATCAGATGTTCATGCTCGCGAGTAGGCCTAGGTCCTAAACTCTGAAAGCTTTTGTCGGACAATTTATTCCGGAAGGCTTTGATATATTGTACTTTGATTTAAAGAACTATACAGTTAGATGTTTATGACTTCACAGTGTAACCTAGAGACCAGAATTTGTGAGTCTGAGCAAATTACATATTTAAATGTAGATTTAGATATGAGAGAGAGATAGAGAGACCAGGTCAGGGAGATGATGCAGAGATCTCTCATGTCGTCTCGTTTTTTTGCATATGATACCAGGTTAAACTTGGCATTATGTGTTTTTTTTCTTCTTGGGATAATAAAAAAGAGAGAGAAATAGAGAGAATCAGGAGAGAACATAATTAGAATAATGAAATTTTGATGACCTTGTAATATGGAAGTACTATTTCCCTCAATAATGAAGTAGTGACATAATTATGTAGTTGGCAAAAATGTCTTACTTGGTTTAGCCTTTGAAGATTTTGATACATTTCAATAGATAGAGGATAATAGAAACTTTGGGATATAAAAATGCTAACTATTGGAAAGCAAAATGAAGAATAAATATTTTATCAAAATCAATAAACGACATTGAACATTGGAATGAAAATGAGAAGTTCATTGGTAAATCTCAAAATTAAATGAAGAAAAAAAAACTAAAAGAATGACTAATGAATTTCAGGAATACACATCTTCCAGGCAACCCAAACAATATACAGGCTATTCCAGGTTTCTTACCAGGTCTATCCAAACAACAGGCACCCCAACCCTAAGAACAACCCAAACTTGCACCTCTCCCTTTCTCAACCCCAACTGAAATTCGAGAAATTCCAAATTATGAAAGAAACATTCAGGAACTTCTTGATATCAAAGAACTAGAACTTTCATGTTTTAGAGAATACCAAACATGCACTATGTCATCTACTCATACGGCGATGATCATTTTTGCTTTTGAGTGTAGAGAGATAACCATGATCATCCAACTCATAGGCACTTACACCTCGCACTTTCTTCAACCCCAACATATCCATCATGCTTCTCTCTCTTTCTACTTCCTTCCACCTCCCAACACTAGCATACACATTAGACATGAGCACATAGTCCCCCACATTATCATGATCCAACCCAAGAAGCAATAGGGTGCAGTTGGCGTACCCGATGAATCCGTAGGTGTAGAGGTAAGGTGCACCTTCAAATTTTATTATGGTATATAATTTTGATGTAAAATATTCTTAAGATTATCTCAAAATCTATTTTTATTTCTAATTAAAAAATTTTAAATTTAAAAAATAGTTAAAATCAAGTAGATCTATAAACATATGAAAATCTTGAAAATGGACAGAATAGATCATATGTTGTAAAATGCACTATTTCTGAGACTGAAAATCTTTTTATTTTTCATAGTCATACTTCTTGATGTCGAGATGATCAATCAAATGGAGTTTTTCAGTATTAAAACTACCTTTTTCGATGGATTTTTGAGGGGTATCCATAGTTTTACTAAGGTAGCATCCTTATGTAAAATTTTTCCTAATAAATATAGTGTTAAAAAACTCCATTTTTAAATCAAAACCATCAATAAATATAGTGTTAAAAAATATATTTTTTAAGAGAGTTATGAAAAGAAGAATTCTAAAATAAAGCCAAGCCATTAATAAAATAGATTTAAAACATAAATCTAAGCCATTAACAAATGTAGAGTAAATATATATTTATTTTTTAAGAGAGTTATGGAAAAAAAAAATAAAAAATAATTTCATGCACTAAGAAAATTAGAGTTAAAAAAATACGCCACCTATAAAAATGGAACTCACAACCTATTTGGAAGTTAAGACCTGCCCACACATAACTGTAGTTGCAATAGTCCTCCATTTTTATATACAACGTAATCTTTATTTGCTAGAAAGAAGCAAAAGGAATTTTTATATAGAATGTAATCTTTATTGGCTGGAAAAAGAAGCAATAGGGTTAGGGAAAATGTATCCCACGTCCTGGGGGTGCATGACTAGTTCAGGCTTACTACCACGAAGCCAGCGGACGCACATTGAATAAACGCTGCTCCTCATTATATATATGAAATTAATTTATGTTAAAAAAAATAAAACAAGAGCTTGACTCGGCCGAGGAAATCGGACTCGGCTGAATAAATCGCCTTGGCCTGGGCCTGAGTACTTTGGCCGAGTCGATGTTTTGAATCTTGCTTTCATGTATTGGATTTCACATCAATGGCTAAAGTAATTGTGATCTTTTTTTTAAAAGAAAAATAAAATATCTTTGTATACAATCCCTTCAAAAAAAAAAACCTCAATTCTAGTTTTTAAAGCTTCAAATAGGTTGCTAGCACCTCCTCAACCATGGAAACCCAATAATGGACGGTTGGAGTGGGACGTTCCTCCAATAGAAGTTCAACCAAACTTTGAGCCATACACCAACCTTCCCTTTTTAACGTGAGATAATTGGTAACCTGCTAGCAAACTCTTTTATGCCCAAATATCAAGCACGGCTCACAAATCAAATCTATCTATACCAGGCCGGACTTGTGGTTACCTGTTTGACCACCAATTAGTACTTTGGTCAGTTTGATCTAAAGTAAATTTATGTTTATTCAATAAACAACAAAACTGGTATTTGACTAATTTTGACAGTGCAATATATATATATTTTAAACTATTATTCATATTTTTTTATATTATAAAAATCTATTGAACTGGTTTGGTAAGGCATGTTTTGCTGGAGCCGGATCGTTCACCAATGATGTAGCCAGTATAACACCGTTGCAAACATTGTGGAGCTATATAATGTGATCCATATGTCCATAATGACATCAAGTGAGTGAGGTTATTATTAAATATAGTTTGTCACTGTGTTGAGGAGAGAGAAAGAGCACGACAGAAAATGAGAGATATTAGAAAGATTTTGTAGAAAGTTTTTGGCACAAAGAGTGAGATCTGAGAGATATCCAATGAGATTGAGCATAGAGAGAGGGAAACATTGGGAGATTCAAGAGAGATTTTGTAGACTGAGAGGGGAAAAAATGGGTGATTCAAGAGAGATTTTATAGAGAGAGAGAGAGTGGGCAAAGAGAGAGAGAGATATCAAGAGATTGGGCACAAAGAGAGAGAAGGAGAGATTGGTTTCTAAAAAATCAGAAATGGAGAGATCGAGATTTCCTAAAGCGAGAGAGTTTGGGCAAAGAGATTGAGATAGACAGATTGGGCATAGAGAGAGGGAGATCCACAGCTTACATTGGGATTTCATAGAGAGTGAGAGAGAGTTTGGGGGGAGAGAAACTTTTCGCATGGGATTTCGGTAGAGAGAGAGGAGAGTTTGGGGAGAGGTTGAAATTTCAGGAGTTTATGAAATTTTGGTAGAGAGAGAAGGGTGCAGCTCTAAAACCTAAAAATAGTAAAATATGGGAGAAGTATTAAGAAAGATATTGTGGTTTCAATTTTCTTGACTTTTTAATAGGAGATGGTGGGGACTATAAATACGAGAAAAAATAATGTTGAGATTTAATATATAATATAAAAAATATTGAGGGTATGATGTGTAAAAAGTTGATTTTGGAATTAATCTATAATTTCGGCTTGTTACTATCCCAATGTCTTCAACAAGTTGGACGTGATATAGTGGTTCCCACCAAATATGTCATTAGCCGTATTTGCATCACCTTCATTGTCCAAACATAGTTATAACATATATGGTATTGTGGTTATCATGACCACATGGATCGTTTTTGCATCAGTCCATCTTAATATTACCCTCGCAATAAAATTTATTTCAGCTCTACAACACCAACTGACGACGGAAATGAGAGATTATCACTGATTTACCTGAAAACAGTGAGAATCATACTGTTTGTAACACGAAAATACCACACAAACACCATCCATAGAATCATCACTAATAGGGAAGCACATCGTTCTTAATACAAAAATATTACACAAACACCATCCATGGAATCGTAATTAAGAGGGATGCTCTACCAGTAATACAGGCACTTTATACTTTAGTGCCCCTATGATATGAGCGATATGGTGCTATGAACAATCCCTGTTTTCCACCGTCATTATTCAATTCACTGAGTTGATGGTGATAATCCACATGATCATGTCATTTTCAAAACTATATGGATCGTATAATATTTTCGTTGTAGTTTATGGTAATACTACTCATTTGGGTCGGGGTAAGCTTCGATAATTGACTGGAGGGTCGGAAGCGGTTTGATGTTGCAGTTGCTGAAACCACCCTTGCTCAGCAGTGCCCTCCACTCCTCCTCTGTCCTTTCCAAGCCTCCTGAGGTTACTGCAAACATTAACATGTCGAATGCCAACCTCGAGTCAGCAAAGGCACTGGTATCTTCCTTAAGATGCAGAACTACGTCCACAATAATCAACTTCCCGCTCTTGGAAGGGAGTGCTTTTCGACATTGCTTCAATATCTTCACACAGTCTTCGTCGTTCCAGTCATGTAGTATCCACTGCACAAAAGCAATTTAGGAAAACAATCAAGCATGCCATGAGAGGGGGATGTAGTTTCAAAAGGTATATGCTTGGGACGGTACGCTATATGGTTCTACATGGTACACCATAAGGTATGGCACATTCACAGACATGGAGGGCAAAAATTAAGTACACCTAATTTTCATCTACAGGAATTACTCCTAATATTCACTATCCATCTCAAGTCCCAGGTCTTTTTCTCTTGTTTGCTAGGTTACATTGGGATCCAAAGCAAGGATATATTAAAATCCAAGACTCGTTATGGGTCATCTATATTTTTTAAGAGTGATTTATGTCCTGACCCCAAAATTTTAGGTAAAATGGAGAATGCTCCATTTATAGATGGAAATTACAAAGGTTGGTCAATTTTAAAAAAATAAAAAAAA